TTTAGCCAAATGTTTAATATACTCTATTAAGGCGTGAATAAAACGTGAAAGCTTTGTCTTAGCTACAGAGGAGCAAGGACAAGTGCTGAAGCAGTTGCAAACAGCTAGAATAAAAAGTCATCACTTAACATGGGGCTTAATCTCAACAAGGTGTCAGCTAAAATCAGAACTCCCACCTCACTGACTCATATAAAAATGAGCGGTTGCTTATCATTATAAAAATGACAAATTTTATGAGGGCTAGTGTGCCCCTCTCCTCTGCAATCCTGTCTCAATTCTATTACACAGGCTTTGGATGTGACACTGGCTGAACCTGTGTGCTCAATGCTCCAATTTCCAGAAAATTATCTCTCAAAGAAGGAAAGCCACCAGTCTCTTTCCTCACCTCCAGCTGAGTGCGTTCCAACAGCTCTGTCAGCTCAAGTTAAAGGCAAGGTGCAAACAGAAATGCAAAGTACGTTTTTTATCCCAATTATCTAGGCTTTCAAAACTTGTCCCTTTATTTGCAGAAGGACATATGGAAAGACCAGATAAACCTGTTTAATGCTAGATCTTAGAAGCATCCTCAGAAATAGAATTAGGATTTAACTTGGGTTTCATGATCAGAATCTTGGAATGATCAATCAGGCAGATAGGTGATTATTTTGTGGGTGTGTGGGAATCGAGATGTGTGGCTGAGAAGGGACCACTGACATGGGAAGTGGAGGAATGAGTTTGTCACTCAGGGTTGAGAAAACTGAGGCTATGGTTACTTTTACCTGCAATGCCCAATACTGTTGCCAAGTGAATGAGTCCAACTGAAATGTGCTGTAAGAAAAAAGAAGCTACACTGAATTTCAAATATTTAGTATGACAATTTTAAATCATCTCAATATTAGATCGATCAGATGTTTCAACTTCTGTGACATTTGGGGGGCATAGCTACTTGAGAGACATATTACAACTCATTTCCCCTTTTAGTCTTTAAATATGGCTATGTATCTATGTTGACTTAAATGTATAGCACTGCTTTATATCTATTTATTTACGTGATAGAATTATGTCCATATTTATTTTTTAATTTTCAAGCTAGAAATATGAGATGCACCACCCTTTATCTTTGAAGAAAATGGTATATTATGGATTTTGGATTCAGGCAAGCATGTGCGATCACTTGGGATTTTGGATTCAGGCAAGCATGTGCGATCACTTGGGTAACTAACCTCTTCTGAGACTCAACTTCCTCATTTTTTATCTAAGATAAGCCTGTTGATCTCGCCAGCTTGTTTAAAGCAACATGCATGAGAAATTAGAAAGCATCCCAAGTGGTTTTGAAATTAGAAAATACTCATAACATTTAGCATTTTCTATTATAATATGGGGTCCGATCATCCCTGTCCATTTTTAACCTAGCTCCAGATTTCTTGTTATTTAAGTATATATTTGAAATCATACCTGTTTCTAGACCCCCAGAGTCAAGATACCACTCCTTCTTGTTGTGATTGAATAATCTGGGGTATGGTTTCCACTTTCTGCTATTTGATCAGACTAATATGCCACCTACTAGTTTGCTTTAACTCATTTTGATTTCACAGCAGGGATTCTACTCCAGCTAGAACATCTAACCAAGATCCAGCTGTCGGCTCAACCCTTCTCTCAGATCTCTGATGCTGGGTCTTGCTTCTTGACAAATTCTGTTTTTTTTATGAAATGACTGATGAAGTGTAATTGGTGCCAAGTGAAGGGGTGATAGTAACAAGTGTCAGAGCTTTGCAAATAAAAGACCAGTGGAAGAATGATTTTATCACTTCTCTTCTCTTGCCCATCACAATGCTATCAAATGATTGCCTTTGTTCCACTGACTTAAAATGCTGTCCTTTCTTCAACGTGTGGTAAGGAAAAGACAGTTCTTACTGTCTTCCTAGATCCCTGCTGCCTAAAGTACAACCTCCCATGGTGAAACAGTGTGCAGCTAAAATCATGTGCTCAATTACCATATTCTAGGCGAAAAAATCCTGTTGAGTATGGTTGTACTTCCTTGAAATCCAGTGCCAGGAAAAGAGAAAAATTAAACCTCAGTAGAGACAAGTAGGCTTCCTACATATGCTGAGAATCCTAGTTTCTTCACAAGTAATAAGATGAACATTTTCGTCAAAGTGGGATGCAATAAAAACAAGGAGAAATACTTAAGAATACCTTTTGGATAGCACAAGTGAAAATATCTGTGCTTGTCAAAATTGGGGGGGAGGGGAAGTTTCAACTTCCTGCTTTTTAAAAAAAATTTTTATTAGTGAATCACCGTGAGGTACAGTTTTTTTTGCTTATTTTTTTAAGTAGAAAAATGTTGATTGTTATTCCTATCTACAGCTATAGCTAAGCTTGGTGACTTAGATTCTACTCTTGACTTAAGATTTCCTTTCAGTTTTTCATCAGATTCTATTCTTGACTCAAGGTTTCTTTTCAGCTTTTCATCAGATCAATGTGTTTGTCTATTTCATTTTTAGATGTACTGAGTATTCTGAGTAGCAGATGAAAAGGAACAAATTGTGCAGAGGAGTTTGTACTCTAAGCCTGGACTGAGGTTTGTCAGGAGATAACCCCTGGAAATTGACAGGGAAACAGCTTCCTGGCTATCTTGGGAGAGACAGGTGGGATTTATGGAGGACTTGATAGGGGAGGTGGTCTACTTCAGTGCCAAAGAGCACATCTAGGGTCTCTTCTCCCACCTGGGAAAGGAGACTCCGGTGAGTGCATGCAAAGGGCCAACCCTGGATGCATTAACATGGCTGTTTTTCCTGGAGTAGCACTGTCCTCCCATTGTTCATTGATTTGCTCAAGCGAGCCCAGTAACATCTCCATTGTAAGACTTGTTGTTACTGTGTTTGGCATATTGAATACATCATGGGTAGCTTGCCAGACTTTTCATGCAGGCGAGATACTTTCGGTAGCTTACCGGGCTCTCCTAGAGGGGCAGAGGAATCAAACCGGGGACAGCTGGGCTGGCCACGTACAAGGCAAATGCCCTACCACTGTGCTACCACTCCAGCCTTTTCCTGAAGTATTTACTAATATTTGACATTGATTGGAGGCAGGAGGGATCATTGCTAACAATCATTTTCTTCCTCAAAACTGTGAATGCTCTTTTTCTTAGCAAATTTAGGAGGGGGGAAATCCAAAATTGGGCTTCACGATAACAGCTCTCCATAAGCAATATTTTGGTTCTCAGCGAGATAAGACAAAATGCTCTACATATTATGGGTTTTCTTTTCTTTTGCAGTTGTCTGTGATCTATGTCTTTCTCTGCTGGAGGTCACTATAGATTGCATAAGTCAGGATGCAAATATGTCCCTGTTAAAAAAATTCCCCTCCAGTAAACTTTTGACCCATAGAGGGAACCCCAGATTTGTGTGTGATTAGAGCCTGGTCTTTTGGGGGTACTGTAAAGGCAAAGAATGTTACTGATTGAAAACATGAGGTGTTCCATTTTTCCATTCTTTTTGTGTGAGCTATTTTCCCTCCCTGATGCTAGAAAAGCTGATTCATCAAAAATCATTTGAAAAGTGCTGTTTCTTTTGCAGAAGTGCTGTTGCAATTAGAGGTGTGTACATATAGTCCAAAACATCCTCAGTGATAAGACTATTCCTGATTCCCCTGAAATTGAAAAAAATCAGTGTTATTAAAGATGCTTCATTACCAAGCTGACGCCACTTTCATTTCACTTGAAAATATCATTGGGGGGGAAGAGGAGGACACAGTCTTTAAAATACAGAATCTGTTTCATCTCATATGGCTATACTGTATGCATCTATTTCTTTTAAAAAACAAAACCAGATTTACAGACTTCTTAAAACGCTTTCTGGATACACAATCAACGAGGAAAACATTAAGAAAAAGTAATGGGCATCAACCGGTATAAATAAATATACTTGTCTAAAATCATTTAATGGTCGTACACAGAGTCAAGTCCCGAGGCCTTCAGACACAGCTGAATTCCTTTTGCACTAATGGCAGAGGCAGCTGCCAAGCGCAACACTGAAAACTCGGTGTTGTGAGCATCTAGGTGTGTTTGCTCATGCTGTCTCTCTCCCCTGCTCAGGGCTGATCGTCGTGACCTTGGCCGTCTGCTGGATGCCTAACCAGATCCGGAGGCTCTTGGCTGCAGCCAAGCCCAAGCATGACTGGACGAAGACCTACTTCCAGGCATACATGATCCTCCTGCCCTTTTCTGACACCTTCTTCTACCTCAGTTCGGTCATCAACCCGCTCCTGTACAACGTGTCCTCGAAGCAGTTCCGCGGCGTGTTCCTGCAGGTGCTGCGCTGCCGCCCCTTGACGCTGCAGCATGCCAACCAGGAGAAGCGCCTGCGTGGCCTGTCCACCTCCACCACCTCCTCCGGTGGCCGCTCCGTGCGCCGCCCGCTCCTCTCCCTGGTCTCCCGGAGCAATTCCTCTGCAAGGAGAACTAACAAGGTTGTCTTAAGCACTTTTCAGAGCGAGCCTCCGAAGCCCCGGCCACTGACTCCCGACTGTCAGCCCCCACCACTGACGCCTGAGCCCGACTCAGAGACCAAACCAGCCAGTTATTCTGCTTCTGAGAATGGGTTTCAGGAGCAGGAAGTGTGAGTCTTAAGGGAAGTCCTCCTGGGTGCTAACTGTCCCCGCATCTGCCCGGACCACGAAAGCAGCATTCTATTCACGCAGCATGGACAAAACAAATGGCAACTGGTGGGAGTTAGGGGCCTTGGCAAAGACCCACTTCAAGGTCTCCTAAAGGCTAAACCTGCCAGCCTGGCCTGACCTCTGGTTAGTGGGGTCAGCTTCCACCCTCTCCCTGTCCTGACGATGCCCTCTGCCTGAACTCTGAGCTTACACAGTGTTTCTGCATGGAGCTCTTTCAGTATTTGCAAAGGAACTAAAGGTGTGGGAAAACAGACTCCCCAGAAAAGGGCACCCAAGGGATCTTGGGAACAGGGGGCCAAAAACTGAAAATCACGTGGGGAGGACTGCTCTCCCCATTGGCTTCAGCAGTGCGCCAGGAAGAGGGCTGATTTGAGGAGCAGGAAGGTGAGCAGAAGCTGTGGCTGCAAGCTGGACGCTGAACTGCTTCTTTTCTTGGGTCGTGGCCCATTGCAAAGTGGGGTGTTGCAGCAGCTGATGCACACTGAGTTCAGTTTCCCAGGGGAGCAGAATGATTGGTACCCCGCGGAGGCGATGAGGCAGGCTGCTGACGACGCACATGACTTGCGGTACATGATCCCTGGAACACAGGGATAAAGGAGTTGTGTTAAACAAACTAGCCACAGGAGGCTCTTCCTCTCCCCCCTTCAAGCCCTATGAATTTAGGGGGTCAACAAGATGCTTAAGGTTGTGTCACTGAGCAACCCCAAATACACAGGCCACAAGGTAAAATGGTACCATCACTACTTTTCTCACAATTGTTTCTAAAGCTATTTGAGATGCCAATGAATAAAAAGACCTGTTCCACCCTGTTCAAAGTTTTGTTAGTTATTTCAAATTTATTTTTCAGTGAAAAAAAAAAGATTTTTTTATTGAATGCAATTTAGAGATGTATGAGGAGAGAGATGTGTGTTCAAGAGAGAACACGGACTACTCCGGAGGGGAAGAAAGACTGTTCAGTTTATGAAGCTGGAGTTTTCCAGTGTGTACAGAGAAGCTTTTGTGCTGGGGGTTCAAAATCTTGGGATACAAGCAATTCCCGGATACCGTGTTATTGCTTTCTAGGCAAATGTCAGTGAAGGCTCTCAACTATTTTTTCAACCCTGGGATTTTGATGAGACTCAAATCCCAAAGGGAATAAAAAATCTGGATCTCTATTGCAGAGATGACCTCCATGAGAAGTGCCCAGGAGAGCTTTCCCTTAGCTTATGCTCACCCCTACCAGTACCTTGTCATATATCCAGTGTTCAGCCACAGTCAGTGGAGGAGCCCAGGAAGCAAACTGTTTAATGGTCATTAAAGGCAGCTGTCTTGAGTCAAATCATATGACTTCTTAAAGCTGGGCGTTTACCAGATTCAAACAGAAGCAAACCTTTTTGTTTCAAGTGAGGCAGTTGGGAGACCACATATAGTGCCAGGAGTTGAGCCCGGATTGGCTGCATGCAAGGCATGTACTATCCCTTCAATCCTAGCAAAACTTATTGAGGTTTTCCTCTAATGTCCAGCATGATTCAGATGGCCGTAGTTTATGGCCAGTAATTTCTCACCTACAAAAGACTCCCCTGCTCACTTCCATTTTCACAGATGAGGAGTCTCAGGGCAAAAGCTGTCTAGGAACATGTCCAAAGACACAATGATAGAAAACAGAACAGCTGGGATTTCAACCTTGCGTCTGGTGCCGCTGTCAAATCTCTATCACCATACTGCAAAACTGCCAGCCCGTTAACCATGAAAATGCATTTGGGGGCAATGGAGGCTTTATGCTGGAAAATAGCTTTTGGGACTTGTGATCCTTTGGTATCAGTGATTTACTTTTGGACAAATAAGTCAGACGAGAAGTGGCTCTGGTCATGAACGAATGGTTTTAGTCTGTCAGGCTGCTAAAGTATACAATGCATCCCACTCTTGTTCAGGGCACCTGCCTAGTCCTCTGGCTCCGTTAGTGCTAGTCGGTTGCAGGTATTGTTGGGTCCTCTAAGCAATCCCAGCACCCACCTCCCTATGAGAACTGCTGCCTGGAATGCTGGAAGAATAGTGAAAGGAACTAAAACTTCAAGTGAGAAGTAAAATACCTGAGTTAATTAAAATGTGTAATTGTATGGCTTCCCCCCCCCCCCCCGCCCCCCAATGGCCTGTTTGGTGGATTGGTTTTCTAACAGAAAGACCTGGAAGAGAGCTGCTCAGGGAAGATGCAGCCCATGGCCAGAGAATGGAGTAGGAAGGGGACAGAGGAGGCACTGCCAGATTTCTAAGAAACTTGCTACATGACACTGCCAGGAACAGATTTCCCACAAGCTCCACATTGGCTGTTGCTCATCGGTGGAAGTTTGACTCGCCACATCTTTATTCTTAAATACTAAAAACACTGCATGATCATAGTCTATGCACTTCACCTGAGTGAGCAAACTTCATAAATATTGACTAAACATCTTTTATACTAAACAAGTCTCATATGAGAGGAGGCACAGGTGTCCCTCATTAGTCTACTTCCAATCCCAAATCCTCTGAATTAAGTATGACCATTGTGCGATGCTTTCTTCCAGGCCTATTTTACATGGTTACATACATTGCCACAGGGAAGAAGTGGGTGCTTACACACATGGGTTAATGGCAGTACGTCCTTAATGTTCTGTGATTTCTGTTTCTGCTAGCGACATGGTTGGAGACTTATTATGAAGCCTAAAACTTCAGGTCTAAAGGCCAGGTAAGCTGGCACATTTCTTCTTAATGACCTCATAAACAGCTACCATGTGAACATTTGCTGAGACCACGTATTTATCTTTATAAAGAGAGTGGATGGAGGTGCAGCTCTGGGAGCAGGTGCAACACCCTTCGATCCATGAAGCAACACCACAAAAGAGACTTTGTTAAGGAAAATGTTGAACACTATGGAAAAAGGGGCCCTGGCTGGGTAAGGAAGGAGAACGACAAAGGGGTTTGTACCATGTAAATGTGACTGGTAATGACTGGGAAACTGTTACAGACCGCGGTACTGACAAGAGGCCCAAGGGCAATGAAAGTTCCAGAATCTTTGCATGACCTAGGAGGCTCAGGCAACTTCCTGCTCACAGTTAGGATGCTTCCCACAGTGGATGCCAATGTCTTGACAACAAGAGAGGTGCCGTGGGTGAGAGAGAATGTGATGAGAGACATATACAACCAAAGTAAAGAAAACAAAGACCTGTCAGACACCAAAGTAAGTAATGCAGAAATGGCCAGTTTGGGGGTATAGAGGTCACTGACTTTGGAGTTATCCAAGAATAAAGAAAATGCTCTATCTAGGACCTAACCAGTGACGAAGATGGGGGGAGGGGGGCAGTGCGATCTATAAATAGGAGCAGGAAAACTTAAGATGAAAAAAGTCCTGGGAGGAGGGTGAGGGTCAACCTTAGCTGACACTACTCAAGCCTCTGTTTGAACTGATGTAGGGACAAGACAGCCTGACATCAGGTGAAAACTCATTTAGTGAAACCCAAAACTGAATGTTCTTGCTGGTTCCTTCAGTATCAATAGGCTAAGGAAAGAAAAATGAAATAGGTCACGGATGTTGAGGGCTGACAAATCACAGAAAAAAAAATAGAAGGTGTTAAATGACAGAAAACAAGGACTGGATTTTATTTTATTTTTTTAACTGCATGTATGCACAATGTTTTCCGTGCTGGAACTGCATAGCAGCACGTGGTAAACTATGCTTTATGAACCACCAGTATGGTGGTGAAGAGTATTGCAAAGATACATGAGGGGGAGGATGGAGCAATAGTACAGCAGGTAGGGCATTTGCCTTCCATGAGACCGACCTGGGTTCAATTCCTGGCATCCCATATAGTCCCCTGAGCACTTCCAGGAGTAATTCCTGAATGCAGAGCCAGGAGTAACCCCTGAGCCAATATTGCCGGGTATGACGAAAATAAGCAAAATTTAAAAAAAAAGATATATGAGGGCCTGCAAGGGTTACGTGCAAGCCTTGCAATGCAGTTAACCCTAGTCAATCATCGTTGGTACCCTGCACATCTCCAGGTGCAGCTCAGGGGGCCCACAAGCATCACTGATGTGGTGTGGGTAACCTCTGGAACTACAGGGCATGTGCAGCACTGAATCCTTGATTACTGCATGAAATAACCAGCTTGGTTGGCTGAGAATTGCCAGGAGTTTGCTTCTGGGCACTGCACCACTAGGGAGGGCTACCACCTGCTCCTTCCCCCATAGCACAGCGGGTAGGGCATTCGCCTTACAAGCGGCCAACATGGCCGACCCGAGTTCGATTCCTCCGCCCCTCTCGGAGAGCCCGGCAAGCTACCGAGAGTATTCGATATGCCAGACACAGTAACAACAAAGTCTCCAATGGAGACGTTACTGGGCCCGCTCGAGCAAAATCGACGATCAACGGGAGGGCCCCCATCACCAAGAAAAAAAAAAAAAACCAAAACCAAACAACCACGAAAGAAGGCTAGAGGGTTGTGGAGGGAGGAACAGGAGCAAGGGAAGGACGACATGCCTTGCACAAGAAACCAGAATTCAATTCCAGGCATCACACAGACTGCAGAGCACCTCAGGGGTGGATCGTGTGGTCCCCAGCATTGCAGGGCCTGAGCAGCACTACAACAGCAGGTCCCAGCATTGAACCTTTCACCTTACTTTTCCAAGTATTACCAGGAGAGGTTTCTAGACACCCCAAGCCCTCCTTGGGAGGCAGCACCCCACCCCATCTCCCAAAAAATGTTATAGGAAAAAAATGGAGAAATTAGAGTATCTTCTGTCCTTTTTTAAAAAATGACCTCTAAGGGGCTTTGTTCTAGTCATCTACATGCTGCTCAAACTAAAACGTGTGGGTGCAAGAGTTCAGAAAAGTCCTCTCTAGTTCCTGGATCACAAAGCCTTAAGACAAATTAAGGGAAAAGGCCTGAGCAACAAGCTGTCGCAAATCAAAAAATGGTCCCAGGACAGCAAAACAGCATTTATGCCACTGTCTTTCAAGGAAGCTGACAGTGATGAATCTCTGTTAATGGCCTGCCACTAATCAGAGGAAGGAAGCTACTGGAACTTGTAGGTCTTAGCATCTGTGTACTTTCAGCTGTGCTGCTACAACAATAAACTGGAATTTTTTCTGCTTTTGCATAGTAAAACACATCCCAAGTACCATGTTTGCTCATCTCATCAATGACGCCATTCAGAAATCTCGAGTGGAGGTATGGGGGTGCCTTGAGGGTGGAGGTAGACAAAGCAACAGACTAAAGAGACCTGGAGTGTGCATGAGCCCCTCGTGGTTAATAGAAAACATTACAGTTCAGACACTCATCAACATTAAAGTTTGGAGTCACAACTCCAAGCCGTTTGACAAAATGCAATGGCTGAAGTCTGTGGGGATGGTGACGTACAATGACCAATGCTGAGTGTGATGGCTTCAACACGATGTCTTATGAATGACTCCCCCAAATGTAGCTCCTAGTGGCCCTCAATTCTAGCTAGTGAATGATACAAGTCACCCTCCCAAAAAAGCTCTTGCCAGGGCTGGAGTGATAGCACAGGGGGTAGGGCGTTTGCCTTGCATGCGGCTGAGCTGGGTTTGATTCCCAGCATCCC